ATGCTGAGCTAATCAAAATGACCACAGCTGAAAGTCAAATGGCTTTGTGTGCCATTGAGAAGGTGATTAGCTACACCTGACTGAGTCATTTTTAGGAGGGTGATCCTTTTTCCAACTCAGTGATTGCATGTGATTTTAAAAGGAATGCTGTGCGATTCCTGTCCGAATCTCATGCGGTTTCCTGCACCACTCTTGTGTGAACCCAGATTTGTCATAGTGACTTCAGCCTGGGTTCACACAGAAGCGTTTCGGAAACCACATGTAACTCGGACAGGAATCACACCGCATTCTTTGCAGTGCGATTTGAGCCTTTCATTTTATATGGCAGATCCGAACAGGAATAGCACCGCACTCCTGGTCAAATCACATGTGATTCTTTGCAGTGCGATTTAAACCATTCATTTTGTATGGCTCAAATTGCACTGCAAATCACACTGCACTGGGAAACCGCATGTGCACCACAATAGCACCACACTCCTTGTCTAATCAAATGTGATTCTTTGCAGTGCAATTTGAGCCCATTTTGTTTGGGCTCAAATAGCAGCACACAAAAAAATAGGTATCAGTAAGGGTGTTGGGGAGTACTTGATAGAAAGTATTGGTACTCATTGTAAAAAAACTGGAATCGGTGCATCCCTACTGCAAAGTGACATTTACACTCTATGGCCACCCTGCACTGAAATAAAAAAATACGGCATTGTGAAGTCTACAATACATCTACAATAAATGATAGATCAAAAAAAATTTGAAGCAGATTGCGGCACAGGCTCCTACATTGCAAAACAATGACAGCAGCTAAACAGTTTTCAATAGGTGGGTTTACCTAGAGCAAAGACTTGTTATCAGCTTTACTCACATTAGCAGCAACCTATCCATCACTAGTTGTGATGTGGCCAGTTTGGGGATATCTAACCAACCTTGCCAAACTAAGTGAAATTTAGTCAGCACAGTGGGGGCCATCCAGTACGTAGAAATAAGTTTCCTGGCCAACAATAGATGGGAAGTCATAATATAAGTTGATAGAGTTCGGGGTCCAAAGCACCCAGTAAGGACACTAGCAGGTCAGTGGGAATAGTAATTTGGGTAGCTAAGTAGGTACTATGCACAACCTTAGTCCAATAGTAAGTTTTTGCCAACGACAAATCATATGGATAAAACTTCCTTTGTGTACAGTTGCAAGAAAAAAGTATGTGAACCCCTTGGGATTACGTGGAGTTTTACATGAATTGGGCATAAAATGTGCTCTGAACGTCATCTAAGTCACAACAATAGAACACAGTCTGCTGAACATAATATTACACAAACATTAGATGTTGCCATGGTTTAATTGCACATAACATGTAAACATTCATAGTGCAGGGAGGAAAAAGTATGTGAACCTTTGGACTTAATAACTGGTTGACCCTCCTTTGGCAGCAATAACCTCAACCAAACGTTTCCTGTAGTTGCAGATCAGACCTGCACAGCGATCTGGAGTAATTTTGGACCACTCCTCTTTACAAAACTGTTTCAATGTAGCAATATTCTTGGGATGTCTGGTTTGAATCGCTCTCTTAAGGTCATGCCACAGCATTTCAATCGGGTTGAGGTCAGGACTCTGACTGGGCCACTCCAGAAGGCATATTCTGTGCTGTTGCAGCCATTGTTTTGTTGAATTACTTGTATGCTTTGGGTCATTGTCCTGTTGCATCGCCCATCCTCTGCGGAGCTTCAGCTGGTGGACAGATGGTCGTACGTTTTCCTGCAAAATGTCTTGATAAACTCTGGAATTCATTTTCCCATCAATGACAACATCCGTCCAGGCCTTAAAGCAGCCCCAAACCATGATGCTCCCTCCGCCATGTTTTACAGTGGGGATGAGGTTTTGATGTTGGTGTGCTGTGCCTTTTTTTCTCCACACATAATGTTGTGTGTTCTTCCCAAACAACTCAATCTTGGTTTCATCTATCCACAGTATATTTTGCCAGTAGTGCTGTGGAACATCCAGGTGCTCTTTGCAAACTTCAAACGTGCTGCAATATTCTTTTTGGACAGCAATGGCTTCCTCCGTGGTGTCCTCCCATGTACTCTATTCTTGTTTTTTGTTTTCCTTATTGTAGATGTGTCAACAAAAATGTTAGCATGCGCCAGAGATTTCTGTAGGTCTTTAGCTGACACTCTGGGATTCTTCTTTACCTCATGCAGCATTCTGCGCTGTGCTCTTCCAGTCATTTTTACAGGACGACCCCGCCTAGGGAGAGTAGCAACAGTGCTAAACTTTCTCCATTTGTAGACAGTCTGTCTTACCGTGGACACATGAACATCAAGGCTTTTGGAGATACTTTTGTAACCCTTTCCAGCTTCATGCAAGTCAACAATTCTTGATCGTAGGTCTTCTGAGAGCTTTTTTCTGCGAGGCATGGTTCACATCAGACAGTGCTTCTTGAAACCAGTAAACCCAAAACAGGTGTGTGTTTTTTAAGAGCAGGACAGCTGTCAGCAACACATCCAATATCATCACACTGATTGGAGTCAAGGTTGGCTCACTCCTGGCTCCAATTAGCTCTGGGAGAAGTCATTAAGCTAGGGCCCCACATACTTTTTCCTCCCTGCACTGTGAATGTGTACATGTTATGTGCAATTAAACCATGGCAACATCTAATGTTTGTGTAGTATTATGTTCAGCAGACTGTGTTCTTCTATTGTGACTTAGATGACGTTCAGAGCACATTTTATGCCCAATTCATGCAAAACTCCATGTAATCCCAAGGGGTTCACATACTTTTTCTTGCAACTATAAGCTACATTTAGGACATAAATCTCTCTTACACCAAGCAAACAGTTGATCTTGTGTCCTGTAGGCCCAATGTAGTATAAATAGTTGGGAAAGTTTACTGGAGGCGGACAGAGAGATGGAAGGAATTGACTCCAAGGCCATATTCCACTGCTCACCAGTAATCTCTCTTATATCCTCAGTCCTGAATGGAGGAGAGCAGCTGTATTTATACCGAAGATAAACCCTCTCTTTTTCCATAGCAGAAACTACTTCAGTAACCAATGGGAAGTCCAACCTATGCGCAGAAACGCAAGTTGGAGTTGCAAGTATTGATAAAATAGTTTATTAGACAATAAAAACTCGGAGTGTAGTTGATCATAAGACTTTAATATATTGCCTATGTAAAATTGAGCAAAATATAACATGCCCTTATTTCTCCATTCTAGAAAGCCCTGCACTTTGGCCACCTCTTGGTATATTGAGTTATGCCATAAGGGGGTAAATTCAAAGAAACCTGTGATTTTCAGTAATGATTTTAAAACACTTCAGACTCTAGTCAAAAGGTCCGCAGTAGGAGATGAGGATGGAAGAGCTGGTAAAGCCATCTCAAGGTGTGAGATCACTGATAGGCTAGAGTTAGAGTTAGTGAATAAATGAACTATAGGGTCCGTGTTATCCATTAGTGTCCAACCTGTTTTTTGTTGAAATTGGGCAGCCAGGAAGTACATTTTTTAGGGTGTGGGATGGCCACCCCCCATTTTTACTATATTGTAGAGTAGATCGTTTTATTCTAGATTGTTGTTTTTCCAAATTAAGTCTCTAAATTGGGAATCTATTCCTAAAAACCATTTCTGGGAAATCCACACAGGGGAGGTATGAAAAATGTAAAGGCGCTGTTGTGCCCAAATCATTTTTATTAAAGTTGACTCTGCCTACCACATATAATGGAAGCTTACACCAGATACAGCATTTCATCCACAACTTATCCAGTAAATGGTAAAGGAGACAGATTTAGCTGGAGCTATTGAGTTGGATCAGGAGTTATCACTACCCCAAAATATTTAAGAGAATTAGCTATAGCTATCTGCTGTACGTCAACTGGTAAAGGAGCAGTTAAGAGGTCTAATGGCATAAGAATGGATTTGTTCCAATTGATGCTAAATCCTGAAACTCTGCCAGACCTAGTAATAAGCGTCATCAGGGCCTGTAGAGAGCCGATTGTATCACCCAGATAAAAGGTGTCATCAGCATAAAGAGAAGTTTTCTCTTCAAGCCCATTCCTGCAAAAACCAATAATTGATGTTGAGTTATGAATCAGGGTAGCTAGAGGCTCAACTGCCAAGAGCAAACAGGGGGCTCCCCTGCCTCATTCCTCTATGCCAGTGGTCTCCAATCTGTGACCCTTTGCTTGCCTTTATCCGGCCCTTGGCACACTGTTCCAAGACACTGTTCTACCAACTGACACCAACAATGGGGCACTGTTCTCTCTAATATCAAATGTGGAAAATGTTTACTCCCACTGATGGAAGGAAAAGTTCCCCTCCTACTGGCCACAGTCTAGCCCCCCCTCAAGTGTGAAGGGCAATAAACTGGCCTTTTTTTTAATAAAGTTTGGAGACCCCTGCTCTATGATAACAAAAAGGGGAGGATAGATCATTATTTTTCCAGAGCTGAGCTTCAGTAGAGCACATGGATCCAATTTATAAAACCTGTTCCAAGACCAAAGCATGGGCCTCTCCACATTGTCAAATGCCTTATGCAGGCCATAGATGGGGAGAAAAATGGCAGATTTTTCTTTTAAAAAACGAAAATTCGGTCGTTCAAGCGGCCGACGTTACCATCAATGGTAAAAAAAATCGGCCGATTTTCATCCCTTCTACAGCCGGCAAAAAGTGTCCCTGCAGAGAGCTCCGCTATTTCTGACAGTTCCTTCACATTTACAGCGGTTGAAACATTGTATCTATTTGTTTCCATTTAGGGTACAGATGTTTTTATTCGGAAACAAATAGATACATTGTTGCAACCGCTGTAAATGTCAAAGAACTGTCAGAGAACTGTCAGAAATAGCGGAGCTCTCTGCAGAGACACTTTTTGCTGGACTGGAATTCTTCTTATTTTCATCCTACTTCTTCTTCATCCTCATCTTATTCTTCATCCTCTTCTTCTTCATCCTCTTCTTCTTCATCCTCATCCTCTTCTTCTTCATCCTCTTCTTCTTCCTCACCCTCATCTTCTTCTTCATCCTCTTCTTCTTCATCATCCTCTTCTTCTTCTTCATCCTCATCTTCTTCTTCATCCTCTTCACCCTCATCTTCATCCTCACCCTCTTCTTCATCCTCATCCTCTTCTTCTTCTTCATCCTCATCTTCTTCTTCTTCCTCATCTTCTTCTTCATCCTCATCATCTTCTTCTTCATTCTCTTCTTCTTCCTCTTCATCCTCTTCTTCTTTTTCTTCTTTTTGTCTTCCTCTTGCAGGTCACTGCTCATGCGCAGATTTTTTATCGGCAAAAAATCGGCCGATTTGCCCACTAATTGCCGCGAAAATCGGCGATCGAAAATCGGCTGATTTTTTTCCAACTTTACAGAAAAAAAAAAACGGCCAAAATACCGAAAAACGGCCGACCAAATAGCCCACTAACGATCCGAAAATCGGCCGATTTTATTTTCGGCCGAAAAATCGGCCGATTTTCGACCCATCTATGGCCTGCATTAGCCACATCCAGAAGACAGCCCTAATACCTGGATTGTCCACCTGCATCTGGAGATTAGGAAAGACACCTGATGTTAATGGCCATGGATCTAGTGGGAATAAACCCCAATTAAACAGAGTAAATAATTTTACCAATGGCCTTGGAGAGTCTAGTGGCTAAAAGTTTCACATCAGTGTTCAATAAAGATATGGGAGGACAGGAGGGGTTGGTCCTTTCCTGGATTTGGGATCACTATTATAATAGCATCTTCCACAGAGTCAGGTGGGTGCCAATCTCTGCAACTTCATGTATTGCTTTCAGGAGAGTAGGCAGTGCCTATTTTGTTAAAGAAAAACTGTAAGGGCTCATTCAAACATCCGTTCATGGCCATACACCGCCTACACAAATGTATTTATGTGGAGAGCATGGCCAGGTGTTTACATTCAGCTGTGACCGCTCGGCCTGTACAAATAAACAGTCTGAGAGACTCCACAGCTGTCTACATATCAATCGATTACCTGTGGCTAGGGATAGATGAGCAGTCCACAAGGCAAGCAGTCTACATACAGAGCTGCTCATCTGTCCAAAACTACATGTAATCGCTCCTCCATGGATAATGCCAGCCTATCATTAATTTGTTTCCTGCTGCGGCTGAAGGTAAAATCTGGCCATACCAGCCATAGAAATATGTTCTAGGTAGTGTACAGCCATGAACAGCCAATGTGAATGAGCCCTAAGACTTTGCAGCCATTTTGCTTTGATGTACCAGCAATCTACTTCAATGATTTAAACAGGTTTTTTTTTTTTTTTTTTTTAACCTTTAAAACACTAGTTGCCTAGCTGTGTCTGGCTCCAACGCATTGAATCAATGACCTGAATAAGCATGAGTCTAGTGAAGACAAGAAAGCCAGAACTCCCGATTTGCATTCCATTAAGTGACTTAAAGCTGGAGTATGGCCAACAGTGATTTTTGTACATTTGCACAGTAATAAGCTACCTCCAAAGTAGTGTGCCCATCTCTGGCTGCTGAAATGTTTGTCAAGGATGAATTCACACTGCTTATTAGTTAAATCGCAGAGCTTTGCCAGTTGGCTAGGGGGCAGTGTGGTGTCTGATTCAACACACCACACCATATTTTTTTTTGTTTTGTACCAGCTTTGACGTGTACAATACATACACTTTATTCACGGCAATGTCAGGCAGCACAATGCCTGCCATTGCAGTGTGATTTGGGCCGTTGCGTTGAGATAAAATGGAACATGTCTGCATATCAGGGACTCTCCTGGTTCTCCTCTTACCTATCCTAACGCTCCTTCTGCGTTACCTACAATGCTGTCACCTCCCCCTCTCTGTTGGGGTCCCCCAAGGCTCTGTCCTCGGACCCCTTCTCTTCTCCATCTACACCTCCTCCCTTGGCAAACTGATACACTCCCACGGCTTCAACTACCATCTCTATGCCGATGACACACAAATTTACCTCTCCATCTCACTCTCCGCCCGCATCACCCACCTCCTAAACGACAGACTGGATGTCACTCCATTTCCTCAAGTTAAGCCTTTCCAAAACCGAGCTCCTAGTTTTCCCCCCAGCCCACGCCCCCCCCCCATCACGACTAACAACGCCACCATCAATCCCACCCCACACACCAAAGTCCTAGGTGTCACCCTGGACTCAAACCTTTCCTTCCAACCTCATGTCCAATCACTATCAAATTCATGCAGGCTCCACCCCCGTAACATCTCCATGATACGTACTTTCCTCACCCCAGACACCACTAAACTCGTACACTCCCTTATTATCTCACGCCTAGACTACTGCAACTCCCTTCTCACTGGCCGACCCGAACACACACTATCCTTGCTTCAGTCTATCCTGAACTCAGCGTCTAGACTCATCCACCTCACCAACCGCTCCACTTCTGCCACCCCCCTCTGCCAATCCCTTTACTGGCTCCTGATTGCCCAATGCATTAAATTCAAATTACTAACTCTGACATACAAAGCCATTCATAATGCTGCCTCAAACTACCTCACTGACCTGATACCCAAATACCAGCCTACGCGTGCCCTTCGCTCCTCACAAGACCTCCTACTCTCTAGCTCCCTGGTCTCATCCTCCCACGCCCGACTGCAGGACTTCTCCAGGACTTCCCCCATCCTCTGGAACTCCCTACCCCAATCCATCAGACTGTCACCTACCCTCCTCACCTTCAGGCGCACCCTGAAAACCCATCTCTTCAGGGAAGCCTACCCCACCCTCACCTAACAGCCATTCTCCTCCACTCCTCCTACCACTCCATCCCCCACAGCCACTTCCTCCTGTACCTCCACCCCCTCCCTCCTAGATTGTAAGCTCGAAAGAGCAGGGCCATCGTACCCCTCATGTATTGTATTGTTACTGTTTTGTCTCATGTACTGTCTCCCCACTTTAATGTACAGCACTGAGCAAACCTTTTGGCGCTATATACACTGTACAATAATAATTTTAGTGCAGTGATAGGCTGTGTTGCAGTGTGAATGGGACACACAGGAAACCATTGTTTCCTGTGTCCCTAAAGTGACAGACATTTCATTCATGCAGTAAAATGTCTGTCACTGCATATAGTGTGAATTGGCTCTATATCTTTTACTTTATATTCAGACCACACTTCCCTGTTGGCATCACGACTTCTAGTTCTGGCTAAAGAACAAACATCACAGGTGGTTGTTTGGTCGGGAACGCATCCATTTATAAAAAGCCCTGCATTCTCTTCACTGAATGCAAGATGTTCTGCGAAAGGAGGAGGTGCAGATGAACATCATGATCATCTTCCTCCAATCACAGAATGTCTTGCATTCAGTTAAAAGATGCCAAGGCTTTTTATGAATGGAGGAGGTACCAAACTACCTTCTGTGATATCGGCACTGCAGCTGTAACTACAAGGTTAGCTGCTGACAGTGAAGCACGGACTGAATGAAGTAAAAATATTGACAAATGCTGCAGCAGCCAGAGTTGGGGCAAGCTTCATTAGAAGAAAAAAAATTGCCCATATTTTGGAACAGCCAGACAGCTGGTTGGAGGCAACACTGATCATAAAATCTAATATTGCATCTCAGAGCTAAAGTAGGGCAGATTCATGGCAATTAAAGGATAAGTTAACATTTCTTAACATATTACATACGTATCCAGGGTGTAACATGTCACTGAACAGCCCCCACACTCCCAAGCCTCTATTGTGACAATGGGCCAGGGTTCTTCTCACCGCACCTGCTGTCACCAAAAAACCCCCCACATCATTCATTCACAGGGTTCTGTGAATGGGAGAACTATAACTACCGGCAGCCACTGCTTCTAGATCTCAATGAACTACTAGGATTGTAATGAGCACTCTAGGTAGTTCATTGATTCTTCCTGTCATTCAAACGTCTGCCCATATGAGAAGACCACTACACAGACAGGACCGTGGCATAACACCCACAATCTTCTGATCGCAGGTGCAATGCTTTACAGGCTCCTAATAAAAAAAAATAAAACTCATGACTAAGGATCTTACCCTTTAGGCAGTCTACTGAAAAAGTGAGTAACATTTTCTTTGCCTAGAACGCCCCTTATAGCACAGCTTTAGTTTAGTGAACCCTGTTATAACTGAGGAAGTTGCCAAACTCCTTTCCACTGCCCACCTCACCACCTGTCCCCTCAATTACTGTGACCACCTTCCTGCTCCATCCTAAACACACTAACCCTTCAAACCTTTCCCTCCCCACTCAAACATGCACAAGCTACCCACATACTAAAACAAAAAACCCTCACTGGACCCCCACCTCTTTGCATAACTTAACACCCATCTCCCTGCTCTTGTTTGCCTCAAAGCTTCTTGAATGCCTTATCTACAACCATATGAGTTGCTACCTCACTGACAACAACCTTCTCGATCCCCTACAGTTCAGTTTCCACCCACAACATTCCACTGAAACTGCCCTACTAAAACTCACCAAGGACCTAACTGCTAATATCAAAGGCCAGAACTCCACACTTACACCTTGCTGCTGGCTTTGACTCAGTTGACCACCCACTCCTCAAACTCCACTCCCTTGGCCTCCATGACTGCTCTTTCCTGGTTCTTCTCCCTATCTCAGCGCACTCAGTGTCACATACAACACCTGCTCCTCTTCATGTTGGGGTACCCCAAGGCTCTGTCCATGGGCTCCTTCTATTCTCTCTGTATGTTTTCTTTTGCCAGCTGATAACTTCCCATGGCTTCTAATACCACCTGTATGCTGACAACACCCAGATCCATCTCTTGAATCCTTAAATCACCTCATCAGTCTCCTCACGTATCACAAATTCACTGAGCAAACATCAGTATGGATGTCGCACTATTTCCTCAAACGCAATCTTTCTAAAACTGAGCTTGTAACATTTCCTCCTCCCCAATCCCCTCCCCATTGACATCAACAGCACCACCATTGGTCCCTCCACACATGCCAGGGTGCTAGGTGTAATTCTAGAATCTGACCTCTCCTTCAACCCCCACATCCAATCACTGGCTAAATCTTGCTGCCTTAACTATTGCAACATTTCCATAAATTGCCCCTTCCTGACCAACGACACCACAAAATTTCACTCTGGTTATTTCCTGCCTTGACTACTGCAACTCCCTTCCTTAAATTTATACAGGCTATCCCCCCCTTCAGTCTATTATGAATGCTGCTGCTAGACTAATACACCGTTACTAGCTGATCTTTGACTGCTGCCTCTCTGCTCATTTCTTCACTGGCTTCCCCAAACCCGTTGTATAAAATTCCAAATACTAACCACAACATACAAGACCATCCACAACATTGCCATCAGGTACATCACCAACCTAATTTTCATCCAAATCATCCTCTTCGCTCCTCCCAAGACCTCCTTGCTCTCTAGCTCTCGTTACCACCTCCCATGCTCTTCTCTAGAGCCTCTTCCATCCTCTAGAACTCACTACCCTAGTAGGTCTGGTCAGCTCCTACCCTGTCTTACTTTAGGCGATCCTTGAAAATGCATTTATTCAGGGAAGTCTATCCCACCTCCACCTAAGAACTGAACTTTGAGTCATCTACATCAGATCATCCCCTGCAGCTATTACCTTTTGTACCACCTCCCATTTCCTTTAATTTGTAAGCTCCATGAGCAGGGCTCTCCTATTCCTTCTGTATTGAAATTGTACTGTCTCCCTTTATACTGTAAAGCAATATAGACAAACTGTCGGCGCTATATAAATCATGACTATTAATAACTTCAGAGCCATCTGTCAGATCTGTATTGCTTCCTGTGGGGAAATTTCTTCCACATTTTCTGTCCGATGACATTGTCAACAAGGTGTCAAGGACAGGGAATGTGGGGAAATTACCCATTGGTTTACAGACTGCAATGAAAACTGCACCATGAATCTAAGTTTGTTTCAACATTGTGTCTCCTTTGGCGAGATTTCCCTGAACAGTGTTTTGAAGATTCATGGATTACCTTTATCCCTGCAATATAAGATGCAAAATAATCATGTATGTAGATACACTCAACAAGATCTACATTTCCCATTTCAATGACTTCTTCAATTCTAGCGCATCAAGTAATTCAAAATCAGTAAACGAGACCTGTTATTTTTTAATGCTTATGGAAGTTCATTTTAATTCACATCACAGAAAATTTACATTCTTTATACACATCTGTCTTTGGAAGTGTAATATGAACATTGCAGATGGTTTTAGAACATCCTATTGGATAAACCAGTCCTAGTGACCAATAGGCTTTTGAGCGAATGCAACCCGTTGCTTTCATGACCTTATATAGACACACGCGTCATATGCACAGCAATTGCTTCAGTTACCCAGTGAGAAGAAAATAGAAATTAAAAGTGCTTAACAAAAACTAAAAAATACAAATAAAAATATAAAGCAGAGTAACTGCTGTCACTGTACAAAGTAGGTTTACAAATGAAAAATCAGATAAAAAATAAATACAGACTTGGTATCAGTCTTTCTGCAAACCTATCTCTTTCCAGGTAGAAGCAATGTCCAGCCTTTGGCTACTAGAGTCTCCCGAAACATTGTCCGCAGGGAAATGTAATAACATGATGGCTGGTGCTCAGGGGGTGGCACTGCCAGTCTAATAAGGTTACATGGCATTCATGAACTCTGCAAAAGCTTGTTCCTTTCGATCCCATTATGGAATCCTTTTGTACCATCAGGACCTCTTGGAAGTCTCAGGACTCCAGGGGGAAGTCCATCTGCATTTTGTATTTTCCTTCCCAGCATTGGACTACATGCTGGGCTTTTTTCCTGTGTGACCGTCTGAGCTTGTCTTCTCCGCTGGACCCAAGGACTGCTGGAAGGAGTGATGCTGCTGTCTGAAGAATACTCTGTAGATCTTCGGGAAGTCTCTGGGCTCATGCTGTCAGCCAGGGGAGAATGCTTGACCCCTTTACGTTGCCCGCAAGGGCTACTCCAGGGGCTATTTCTTGGTGAGGCATTTGGACTCAGGTGGTTATTTGGATAAGCAGATGGGCTCAGCTTATTAGTAGACTGAATTTTTCGGCCTATCATTGGGGAGTTTGGATTACTATCGGGCTCAGATGAACTATATGCTGTGGACTCATCCCCAATATACTGAAGCTCCTCAACTCTTTTATTAAGAGACTTATTTTTGCGCAGATTCTTTGTGTCGTCATCCTTGCTCCGGTCTTTCTGAATCTTTTTCTTCGGTGGCTTCATGCCTATTAAAACCACTTTTATGCTTTCTTCGGTTTCACTTTCAGCATTTAAGGTTTCATGTGCCTTAATTGCAGCTTCAACCTCTTCAAATTCCACAATTGCACAATCCATGGTTCCAACCTGAGCATAACGGCTGCTGAATCTTTTGACATCTGATGGAAGATCTCTGCCAGGTTTCAAGATACGTATAGAGGAGATGCTACCAAAAGCTCCGAAGCTCTTCAAGAGCTGTTCCCATTATCTTCTCTTGCATACCCCCATTTTCTTGCTCCTTATTCAAACACTGCAGTTCTGGGATACAGTGGAGGTCATAAACCAAAAGCATCTTGCTGGGAAGGTTTTCACTAGGAAAAACAGGGACAGGAGTTTTTCGCCTGACTTTCCGATTATCTTCATTTAGTTCAAGTATGTCTGAATATCTTAGAGCATATGCAGTTGTCCGCCAATCTCGAGTGAGATGTTTAACCTGTAAATGGAAAGAAAAAAAAATGAAATGTTACATTTTCAGTAGAAAACTGAGCAAAAACAGTAGAAAAATTATCAGTATTACATTTCAGTAGAAAACTGAGCAAAAACCAAAGTATGCCATTGTAAGTTACAAAGGCATACCATTGTGTGTAAGCATTCTCATGATGTGCACTGCTGGACAATCAGAATTCTGAAAGTGGTATTAAACTAAAAACGTATTACAGCTTACCGATGCTTAGATGTGGTGGGCTGCATTACTTTTTTTTTTTTAGGCATTTTTCCATCTACCCACATTCTGGATGAAGGAGCACAGGGGGCATATTTGTATATCAGCATTGTCAGTCCATGGGGAGGGGAGTGTTTGATGCACTAGCAGATTTAAGTACACTAAAATTGAAGCCAAACCCCAGCTAATACTTTATAGGCAGTTACAGAAAACAGTTTTTCTCCTTTTGGGATAAAGGTTTTACATAAAAAAAATGAAAGCTGATCATTGTAAGCACCCCTATCAGTGCTAAATGGTTTGTCTCAGCCCTGTAACTGCGAGAGCCTGTTCTTTTGAAAAAGACTTGCTAGCTGGATCACCAGATAAAAGTAAAGGAACGAAAACCTAAAAAAAAAAAAAAAAGGAAAAGAAAGAAATGCAGCCATCGCAGGTGTGGTACCCAAATGTATCTCCAGCGGTTTTCTGTGCGGGTGGTTGTGGGAACAGGTGCGGTCCCGCAGCACAGCAGCAATCCCCCACACATTTGTGAACTTAGCTCTAAATCCCAACTATACTTTCATTTTAAATCCGCTAAAGAAATTCCAGGTTCATCAAAACAAAAGGTGTTGAAAGCCCTACAGTTTGCTTTGTAAAACATCCAGAGTCTGATTAGAAGAATGTCTCTGTTCTCACCTTGTTCTCACCTTGGCCCCTAGAAATCATTCCTATTTACATCATAAAATACATTACCTGTGGGACTACAACTGATGTAGTAGTCAGTTGGCATGTATTCCAGGAAACCAACTCCGTGTTAATTCTCAATTATTGTCTTCATAATTGTTCTGCATGGATCTTACAATCTGAATGATTTACATAAGGTTTTAGATCAGGAGAGGTCCAAGTGTTGAGGCTACAACATGGTATAGTTCCTTAAATAAATCTTGGTTTTCTCTACAGTTTCAGTAGAGCCAATAAAACAAATGCTTCGTGTGTGCCAACCCACCAAGCACTGCATTCCAGCTCCCCCAAACACTTGCTTCCCATCAGCAGGATTCAGATTAAAAGTCGAGAGACACTGGCAAGATTACAGCTAAGGGTTATTCACCAACCAAGGGTCTGTGTGCTGGGCTACTCTATTTTGGGCTGCCAATTACTCCACCTTTCCACACTCTCCCCCACACTACACCATGCTCCTCTTGTTGGCATACTGAACTCCTTGGCCATTTCAAATTGTTATCCAATGCCAAAACATGCAGGTAAATCTAGTTCAGTTTATGGTTTCTGCTTTTCTTCTACTTCTCGTGCCCAAAACAGCTGCCACAGCCAAGCTCTAGTGGTGGGAATTGAATGCCAAACACCCAAGGCAACAAGATGGTACACCACGGGTAAAAAAAAAATAAGACGCCCCCCCCCCCAAAAAAAGAAAAAAAAAATTGGCTTATGGACCTTGAAGTACATGAAACCAGTCTTTGAAGTATATAATCTACAGTGTAACAATGGAACACTGATTTGGTTGCTATGAGCAAATGCTTGCTTTTTTGGCTCCAGTTTTCATAAATCATCCTCTTGCATATATTATATCCTACCAGGCACACTGAGATTTCCTCCCACTCACCTATTCTCAGTCAGGAACGGAACAATTATTTCTAGTCCATTCCCCATGCTAGCTAATCCCATGGGTGGGATATTACCAATTTATTAATGAGTAGGCATTCAATTAGCCCTCAAGTCTAAACCGCCACAATGCAAGAGATGATGCAAAGAATAAAAATGCTTTTTTGACATTTCCAACCTTCTATGAAGCATAATGAATCACACTGGGGGGGAGATTTACTAAAACTGGAGAGTGCAAAATCTGGTGCAGCTCTGCACAGAAACCAACCAGCTTCCAGGTTTTGTCAAAGCTTAGCAGAACAAGCTGAAGTTTTAAGCTGATTGGCTACTGTGCAGAGCTGCACCAGATTATGAGTGCTCCAGTTTTAGTTAAAGGGTAAGGTCAACTTCTCCAACATGTTACATCCCTATTCAGGGTGTAACATGTTACTACTGAAGCTGCCCCTGCATGCCCATCCACCCCCATCTCTCCACTGATAGCAGACTGGGGGATCTTCTCCCTGTATCTGCTGCCACAATTCAAAAAAAAAAAAAAAAAAAAAAAAAAAAAAAAAAAAAGGGATGTGGCCATGCGGGGCTCCGCCCACCCGGCTGCATCACTCATTAACCGCATTCTGTGAATGGAAAACTAGTACTGACAGCCTTTGCGGCTGTCGGGTTGTAGTTCTCAATGAACTACCAAAGCGCTGTGGTAGTTCAATGAGGCTTCCAGTCAGTGTGTAACTGACTGGTTGTACGAGCAGACAGCTTGCACACAGAGTTTGTAAGAGCCCTGCATAGCACTCACGGCCTGCTGATCGTGGATGCAATGCTGTACAGGCTCCGAATAAATATATCATTTTTGTTTTATTAATAATTGCACTTTTTTTACCTGCAAAAAGTTTTTTTTTTTTTTTTTTTAAAAGGTGAACTTATCCTGTAATTTCCCCCACAATGTACTCACAGATTGGCGGTTTCATCTCCTCTAGTCATTTTTAATGTAGGAAAGAGACATTGATGGAATACACATTTTAAATACAGTGCCCTTTTCTCCACACGTGGCAATTCTGTAGGGACAGAAAAAGGGAAGGACTAGAATGTCCTATACTGCTGCACCTGCTACCTTATGACCACCATATTGTACTGGACCAGAAAAATCAGACACTGTCAATTGTGATGTAATCATGCTATTGGTAAAGTAACGTTTCAAAACCATGCAAGACCCCTTAGTGAGGCATATGATGAGCCTCGTCTGGGAAGGTGTGCTATGGGAACATTGACACTATCAATAGGGTAGCACACTAAGCCAGGAATACACTATTTTCTTCCTCAGAGAAGAAAGCATTCATACTGGTGTGCGGTCTTTGAAAACTGGTGGTAAATATTGCATTTACATCTCATACACACAGGTATAAAAAGTTATATCCTGAAATACTCCAGAGAGCAGAGCCTATTATAACAGTAATAAAGGTTGTGGCCTTGAAACATTTTACCACCACTGTGAGACTTAAGCTGGCCAGAGAAGGTTCAAATCTCAGCTGGTTCTATAGGGACCACTGGAGTTTCGAGCCATGTATAGGCAGGCTGAATGTACCCAAGTTGATCGATCAGCTTTGGTACATCCAGCCTGCCAGATTTTACATGCAATTATTGCTGGAGGCTATTATAGCCACTAACAGTAATCACTGTGTTCTCACTATGGCTGGCTTTAAGTAGCATTAAGATGTTCAGAACAACCTCAGAAGTAACAATCACAAGTGACCACCCAATAGCCAAAACGGAGTTAAGAGAACTGGTGGAGAGGACTGCTGCTCTGGCAGATGGGATAACCTGGAAGAGCGCATGTAGCAAAACGTCTCTTGTAATGTGCAAGTATGTTTTCACATTATGGCAAGAGCCCTAACTTGGGGACAGTTATTTAACCGCTTTCCTGCTGCCCTATAGCAGAAATACTGCTACAGCACGGCAGGGGAGCGCAAAATTATATATGTGTGTGTAATTTTGACTTTCCAGGTAAGGGGCGCGCATGAGCTGCATGTGCCCTACCCGTGCCGCCATTGGTGGCCTCACCTGTCTATTACTGGGTCCCGGCCGATGATTCCCCACTGGCACCCAGCAATCGCTGTGTATCAAGGATGGGAGAGAGACCTGTATGTAAACATTGCAGATCTCTGTCAGCTCCTGCACACTGCTTTGTACTGCTCTGAATGGCACACACACAGCACACTGTAAAACCGCACACAGTTAACCCTTTGATCGTCCCAGATGCTAACCTCTTCCTGCCCAGTGCCATTAGTACAGTGTCAGTGCTTTTTATTAGCACTGATCACTGTATTGGTGTCACTGACAGTCAGTTCCCGCCCAGTGTCAGAATGCCGTCGCAGTCCCGCTATAAGTCATTGATCGCTGCCATTACTAGTATATAACAAAAAAAAAAATTCCAGTATCTATACCGCCATTTATAGATGCTATAACTTTCACATAAACCAATTTACACATATTGGGATTTTTTTTAGCAAATATGTAGCAGTAAACATTGTGGCCTAAATTTATGCTGAAATTTGAATTTTTTTTTTAATTTCTTTTACTGGACATGTGTATTATCAAAAAGTCAAAAATATTGTTTTTCTCAAAACGGTCTTTTTATAGCGCAAAAAATTTAAACCGCAGAGGTGATCAAATACCACTGAAAGAAAGCTTTTTGTGGGGAAAAAAAAAGAACCAAATTTAATTTGGGTGCAGCGTTGCATGACCGCGCAATTTTCAGTTAAAATAATGCAGTGCAAAAAATGGCCTGGTCAGGAAGGGATGTAAATCCTCTGGAGGGCAAGTGGTTAAAGTAGAATGCAGGCAATTTGCCTCCCATCTGACATCCCTTCAAAAATCAAAGGAGATGGGCAAAAAAAACTGGCTGCCAAGCATTAGCTGCCTCCAATCAGATGCAGCCACTATTCAGGTATTTTGACAGATGGTGGGGCTGGCTGTCAAAATAAAATAGCTGCAGTGAGAGATTCATCCCTATGCACTATGTAACATGGATGGAGGAATCTAAGATTTTCTTACTTTAGCCTTTGTATGGCCAGAATAATAATATCTACAAAAAGGAGGAAAAGACAGAAGATGAATTCAATGTATTTCTATGCCATAAATCCAATCGGCTGGCTGAGGCAGGAAATTTCCTTATATGGACTGCTTTTTTGTGTTTTCTTTACTTTTTCATGTTAAGTACTAAAAATAAAAATCATAAAAGAATCTTCCGCATCTGAACATTTTTTTTTTTTAATCATAGTTAATTGCTCTACACAGTGAATACTACTGCTAGGTCTCATGTTACTATTGTCCTGTAGTGACACGCGGGCTGCAGGACGGATTGAGCACATGACACCAGGCATCCAACACATCCGAGTCATATCCTTAAAAAGCGCAGTAAAACTGACCACACACATTAGGCAGGGCTGAATACAAAAAAAGTCCTTGATTCCCCTCTACACGTTAAACCCCATGCATGCAGGAAATCTGCAGTGACTGCTCCAGCCGTCAGAATACCTGAACTGACTAGATGCAGGGACTGTTAAGCCAAGAATTTTCTGCCTGGCACCTTTGACCAAAGTTGACAGCTGAGCCGTGTAGTACCAACAAGGCAACTCACAACATTCGAACATTCAGCCGAAATTTGATCTTCATAAGGCCAGCTTAAGTAAGTTTAAAAATAAGTGACAGTCACCTTAAATAAATATATTAAAAATTAATGTGACAAAACATACGCATTAAAAACAAATTATTTCCTGGAAAAAGATGGATTACATTGTCCGCTTGATTACATTGTCAACTTTTGTCAATGTCTCTTTAGAGAAGAAAAACCTTTATTAGTGAAAAATCTTACAAACCTTTTTGAATGAGGTAAGCAATTTAACACTGACAAATCCCATTTTGTTTCTTCTGACATGTTTCAGCAGAAAAGCATCTTTCTCCAGGTTCTCGTCAGAGAGGTAGTACTCAATCTGTACAACAAGTTTCTGGATGAGCTCTGGGTCCGGAGGCTTCCAGTCTTGGTCAAGTTCATCTCCGTCATTCTCTCCCCCACTTGTGGCAGCTCCACTAAAACACAGAAAAATTGAGTATTAAATGATGCTGAAAAAAATCCCACTGTGTACAAGCCATATCTAGCAGCCAGACCTTTATAATTAAGGCTTTATCCTAACATTAATACATGGGATGACAAAAAAAAAAACGTTTAAAAGCTAGTCTAATGAAAACTCCTTGAAGAAACAGAAGAGCGATGGAAGATAAAAGACCAAGTGGCCCATTGAGTCTGCAAATTTTTTATTTATTTTTTTTGGTTAATTTTTTTGTCTCATCATACATCTATGTTTGTCCTAAGCACGTTTGAACTCACTTACTGTTCGACTCCGATATGCTGGTTGTACCTAAATCGATCCATCAGCCCATAGACTGAATCTTGGCTGGTTCAGCAGGGATTTGATCCATCTATGGCCAGCTTTAATGAGGTCTAACTTGTGTGTCAGCAATAGCAAGCTCAGTTCCCAAAGACCCATTTAAGCAGGCCAAAGCAAGGATTTCCACCAATATCATTTTTCTGGGCATGCTCCTAAGTGATTAGCTGACTCCAAGCTGCTCGTATCTCTACAGAGAGTCTACACACCAAGACTCTCAGTGCAAGGATCATCTCATAACAGGAAATGGAATCACATTAAAAATTGTAGGACTTCAGCTATGGTTTTGTCCTTGGAAATGCAAATATAGGTGTTATTTCATACAAAGCACACTTGAATTTGGTTTTCAGAAAAATATGTAGAGAACTTCTGCCAATGTTGTGAATATGATATCTGCCTGGCTGTCTCTGTCTCTGGCTTTGTTGCTGACCTGGAACAAGCTGGCTTTTCAGTGAAGCAAGAACTTCTGATTGATCTATTCTAGGTTGGCAATTCATAATGTACTGAAATTATTAGATCAGTCAAGGACAGCCAAGAAACTGGCATTTTTTTTTTTAGAAGGCAATGACTGTCAGTACACAATTCCTTTAATATATTTTGTCAGCATTTTCCCAGTTTCTATACTGCCTCTAGTTACATTTGGTAATCATTTCCTGCGGTAAACTGCTAAGAAAGCATTGTTCTAAAGGGACTTGCTCGTAATAGCTTCTTGCAGCAACTGCCACCCATCATAATGTACAAAACTGTACAGGATTTGCTTTGCATTTTAAATGCACGTCTTTAAAAATAACTTGCGTGCCAATACAATATAACGTAATTATTCCTGAGACTTTACTGTAAGTTAAATTGTGTTTAAAACCAGAGACTTCCAGAAACATCTTCTAAGGGTCCAGTGATGTGTGGTGGTAGCTTTCAAGATGACGGCCTTATGACAGAGTCCAAAGCAATCTGCTAAGGCTAGTGTGGATGGCATCACTGCTTCAAGTGTATTGGAAATTCAGTAACCCTTTCAGCATGGATGTGCACTCGTGACAACAAGGCTGTGATTATTGGATCAATGGGCAGTGCAAGAGCAGCTGGGATGTATATAGATTTAGTAAATTAAATTGCTTACAGTAACTGAAGTGGCTGTTAAGAGCTACTGTACTTGATCACTGCTTTTTCCAGTGCCATATTACATCAATCCATAAAGCAGCCCATAGATTATGCAATTTTCTTTCCATCCACCATGGGTGGATGGAAAGAAAATGGCTTGATTACCCCAGCACTATTGTGTTCTGCCGGCTGAGCATAATGATCACTGTTCGCGGCTATAGCCACCAGCAGTGATTGCATGAAAAAAATGCATCACTCAACTCAGTACAACCAGCCTGCCCGTATATGGATCGAATCTCAGTCCCTGCTGAACCAGCCGAGATTTGATCAATCTATAGCTGGCTTAAAACTAGTATACAATTTAAATCAAAGATAAAGTGGAGATATTTGTAACGTGCACAAACTAATTATGTACACAAAGTATCCCAATTTTTAATTTTCACATATAAAAAAAAAAACAAAAAAAAAAAACATACATCTATTATGTCCCATTTTCCCATTTTAAGACACCTGTATACAACCTCAGTGTTACAAGTCAAGTTAACAGATTATCTAGCATAGGATTATTTACATCCAATACATTTCTTGGAACAAGGCCACATTTTCAAGGATATATATTCAGTATAAACAGATAATCCTATGGAATGGAGCATAAATAAGTTATTAGCATGTCCCTCAATATTGGCAAAATGTGTGAAGGTTACTTCTCTCCCCACTTCCCAAACAGGGCACATATGGACAGAGAATCCGTCCCCCACATGAGAAACTTAAAAAGTACTGTCCAAGTTCTTTTGGCAGTGCCTCTCCTGTAGATCACAGGAGCACAGTTCATTCTGCACTCCTGTGACCCGTTATCAGCTGACAGCACGCTAAGGCCCGCTGTCGGCTGACGTCACTCAGTCGGTCCAGGCTGGGGAAAAATCCTGACTCTAAAGTCGGGATCCATCCTACAGTCTGAGGCGGTACCTCGCTAAGAGCCTGAGCCTGCCTCTCTTCCCCTCCACAGGCAGGTGCTCCAGTGAGCGCTGGTAAGGGGGGGTAGGGTGGGAGCAAAGCAGACAGCAGTGACTGACAGCCAGCAGCTGCGAGAACTCAGCGATCAGTGGTCATGTGATCGCAGAATTCTCACCCTTACAGCCGGCGGCGGGGGGGGGGGGGGTTCTGATGGCTGCATCGGATCCACCTAGGCAAGTATGATTTTTTTTAAAGCAGTCCAACACTTCTCTTTTAAGCTAACTATAGAGGATTTGAATCTTGTCCGGTTCAGCAGAGACCTGCCCAAATTCGGACCATCTATGGCAGGGGTGGGCAAACTGCGGCTCTCCAGCTGTGGTGGAACTACATTTCCCATGAGGCATTGCAACATTACAAAACTGACAGTTACAGCTATGACTTGCAGAGGCACGATGGAACTTGTAGTCCTGCAACAGCTGGAGAGCCGCAGTTTGCCCACCCCTGATCTATGGGCAGGCTGATTGTACCCAAATCGATTGCCTATAACCAGCATGTCGGACTTCTAGCATGCGATTATTGCCAGTGGCTAAAACCAGTAGAAATAATCACCATGTTCTCCTGAAAGGGATGGCTCCCCGCCAAGGGAATTGACAGACAGCTTTCCAAGACGCTGAAAATAAATATCGCATTTATCACATTTCAATCTTCTATCTCAGCAAAATACAAGAAGCAATCAAATGCCCATACATTTGAAAGCTATGAATAATAAAATCCTGGCCTCGGTTTCATTCTATATATTGTTCATAGACACAGATATATATATATATATACACACACACACATTATATATATATATATATATATATATATACACACATATATACACACACCACGCATTCTTCAGTGTTTTTACAGTTAAACTCCTCTAGGCACCCACTAGTCCTGTTTTTTTTTTTCCCCAACCAAAAAACAACACCCCTGCCAAAAAATGCTGCTCTATGTGCGCATGGACACATAGGATACTATGCTGGGGAGTTTACTGGCTGCAGAAAAAAAAACAAAAAAAATAAAAAACGCAAAAAGCCAAAACATCCGCTGTAGAAACGTCCAGTGTACATGAGGACTAAAATGTAGCACTTAGGAACCAAGAATAGAGCAAACCACATAAAATGTGTCCACACTTCACTATACAATAAATAATGAATAGTCATATACATATAATAAAATAAAATGCATGTATAATTCATTTGCGTATTGAGTAAGCCTTCACTCCAATTACTTACAGATGGTATATATGATATATACATTAAGGTAAAAATATTCGAGCTCACCCCCAGGACTGCAGGAATGGAATGTGCAGAAAGGACTTTTATATTTTGTAAAGCAGAATGTGCATCTCCAAATAATAGCTGTAATTTATCAAAGTCCTGAAGAAGCAGAAATGTCTGCTCTGAAAAAAAAGTTATAGTTTGTAAGGCTGAATAAAAACACCACTCCATCCAGTTCAACCTGAGAATGTGCGGGGTGTCCAACTACTGTTTTCCCATATCCCTGTACGTTGTGTTCATCAAGAAACACATTAAGATTTTTGAATTTATCTACACAATCTGCTGACACCAACTGTGGAAGGGAGTTCCACATCCTCACTGCTCTAACAGTAACATTGAATATTTGGAAATCCTAACACGCTTAGAAATAATCTCTCACCACACCCTCAGATGACATTGTAATGACTGATGTCAACACGCTGATCGGAAGTGACTTGGACCGGGAGGACTATGTGTTGAGACACGTGAGCTAGTTCCCACACACTACGGCGACGTGCTGATGACACTACAATTAGCAATTTGACAAGCACGGATTTTTTTTTTTATTTTGTATTTTATTGGGAATTGGAGTTAAAGCATTTTAAATGGATTTACACTATGTGGGCTATTTTTTTCCTTTGAGCTCAAGTGGGCATTTCAACCTTTGCTGGCATCCACACCCTCATGAGGAGCTTCTGATTCGGAGGCATTACCCTGAGCCAGTTTTCCCAATCAGTAAAATGAGAGGCAAAAGGAGTTGAGTGTTGAACCGTAAGGGGAGTGGATGTCACTGTTCACACTGTAGCGAAGTAGATTTGGAGAATAAGTACTGGGGAATTTGAATGCATTAAGAAGTCTTATGATTGAAAAGATATTTTATTGGATTTATTTTGAACTGATTGTCATTTTCACTTATCACGGGTGATCTATAGCATCAATTGCTTTAGTTGAAAGCGCTGCCTGGAGAACATTTTTGTTCTTTTTATTTTAAGAAAGATTGAACTGTTTCTCATCTGTCATTGTGTGGTTGTGTGTATTCTTTAGGAGGCCTAAGGTGAAAAAGTTTCCTCCCAATGCTAGAGTCACTTTTCAAGTTTTTGTATATTGAGATCATATCCCCTTCTCAAGCGTCTTCTCCAGGGAGGATAAGTTTAATGTTTGTAGTCATTCCTCACAAGTGAGGTCCTACAGTCCCCTTATTAGCTTTGTTGCCCTTCTCTGGACTCCAGTTCCAGCACTTCCTTACGGAGGACTGGTAACCAGAACTGGACGGCATACCCCAGATTTGGC